CCTTCAGCTCCTGCTGTCTGAGAAGGCCTGTACTGTCCACCCTGGATACATGTAAATGGGCCTGGAGCCCACTGCCCAGGAGCAGTTTTACAAGGTGGTTAAAGGTTCCATCTCTTACATCATACTGCCAGGATTTCAATCCCATCTCAGCTACTATCATCTGTGTTTCCATCGGAGCAGTTTGTAACCTCCCAGAGCCTTCATTATCTCACCATTTTTTTTCATTATCTCACCTTTAAAATGGCATTTCTTAGACTTAAAGCCTCCCTAGCAATTGTGAGCTAAGCAACACGTCCTCACAGGATCCTATGTCAGCAGTAAGTATTGAATCAAATCCATAAGAAGGGTTATTTCATAGCATCCACTGCAACCACAAACAAGTAGCAGACCACAGTCCTTTGTAACAGATGGTTGTCACCATGGCAGAACCACCTTCACCTTATTTCCTCTTGAGAGCCCTTTCTCTCAAGGGAACCCCAAATCAGTTAATGTCAGGCAGAAACTTAGAGCCAACACAAATGTCTTCATTCTTCCTTTCATTCCTGGTTCTGGTTATTTATACCTCCCTTATCTGACCCCTATGTTTACCAAGTTCTCAACAATGGTTAATTTATACTAGTTTGAGCGCTCTCAGGGGCAACTGTGTCTCCTACTCTCAGCAGCACTAGAAAGTAATCCCATCCTACAAGGTCACACTGAGAGATGAAAGGAGGGGAACTGGTCTCGCAGGGCACACCCCTGGGTGCCAAACCCCACAGGGGAAAGGAATTTTTTCATTTGTATTTAGAGCTCTTTGCTGAGATCTCCCCTAGATCTTTCCTGAGCTTGCTGAATTTATCATCCTATTTAGTACTAATGGCATGATTTAAATTAATATTTTGTAGCTAATGTACTGAATGATAGAATTTGGATTCAAAGACTAAGGGAGTGAACCTAACAATACAACATTTAGCCCAGAAAAACAGAAGTTTCTATACTTGGGTTAAAATTAAAATGATTGGGGCGCCTGGGTGACTCAGTCATTAAACATCTGCCTTTGGCTCACGTCATGATCTGAGCGTTCTGGAATCGAGCCCTGCATTGGGCTCTCTGCTGAGCAGGAAGCTTGTTTCTCCCTCTCCCACTACCCCCTGCTTGTGTTCCCTCTCTTGCTGTGTCTTTCTCTGTCAAATAAATAAATAAAATCTTTTAAAAAATAAAATTACAATGATCTATATATATGCACCCTTATTTTTTTGATGTTTTATTTATTTATTTGATGTTTTATTTATTTATTTGTTAGAGAGAAACAGACAGCACAAGCAGGTGGAGTGGCAAGCAGAGAGAGATCAAGCTCCAAGGAGCCTGATGCAAGAAGCCTGATGTGGGACTTGATCCCAGGACTTGGGGATCATGCCCTGAGCTGAAGGCAGACACTTAACTGACTGAGCCACCTAGGCATCCTGCACCCTTATATTTTCTTGCAGCATTATTCACAATGGCCAAATTATGGAAGCAGCCCAAGTGTCCATCAATAGAAGAATGGATAAAGAAGATGTGGTATATATACACAATGGAATATTATTCGGCCACGAAAAAGAATGAAATCTTGCCATATGCAATGACATGGATGGAGCTAGAGAGTATTATGCTAAGTGAAATAAGCCAGTCAAAGAAAGACAAATACCATATGATTTCATTCACATGCAGAATTTAAGAAACAAATGAACAAAGGTAAAAAAAAGAGATACACCAAAAAACACACTCTTAACTATAGAGAACAAACGAATGGTTACGAGAGGGTAGGGTTTGGGGGGATGGGTGAAATAGATGAAGGAGATTAAGAGTACATTTATCTTGATGAGCACCAAGTAATACATAGAATTGTTGAATCACTCTGTTGTACACCTGAAAGTAATTTAACACTGTATGTTAACTATACTGGAAATAAATTTTAAAAATTAAAGTGATTTATGTAAGTGTATTAACAGGGATGTGTGAAAACAGATTTAGGGTGTCAGGTGATTGCAATTAAAGTGGATTTAACTGTGTGATATGGTGCCCACAAAATCTACTATGCATCTACAGATGTATTGTGGCTATTCTAGAATGAAGGTGTGATAAGATCACTCCATTCTACACTAGGCAAAACATGCAGTATTTTCAGAGGCATTTATAAATTCAGGAGCATGTAGGATGGTGAGAGACTTTGAAAAAGTGTGTCATATCAGAAAGAACTGAAATAACTGGGGAGGTTAAGGCTAAATAAAAAATAAGTCTTGGTGAGAATATAATTGTTTTTTTGTTGTTGTTGTTTTGTTTTTAAGATTTTATTTATTTATCTGACAGACAGAGATCACAAGAAGGCAGAAAGGCAGGCAGAGAGAGAGGAGGAAGCAGGCTCCCCGATGAACAGAGAACCCGATGTGGGGCTTGATCCCAGGACCCCGAGATCATGACCTGAGCCGAACCCACTGAGCCACCCAGGTGCCCCGAGAATATAATTGTTTTTAAACTGAGGGTTTTGGAGGGGCAGGAGGTGGGGATTTGGGTGAGCCTGGTGGTGGATATTAAGGAGGGCACATATTACATGGAGCACTGGATATGAAGCATAAACAATGAATCTTGGAACACTGAAAAAATAAAATAAAGTTTATAAAAAAGAATATGATTGCTTTTAAACAAGATAGCATACTGCAAATGCTTAGCACAATACCTGGCATAAGTGCTCAATTAATGATAATTTAAAAAACAATAATTAAAAATTTTTTAAAAATAAAAACAAACAATTCATAGCAGTATTAGCGTGAGGTCATACTATTATTATTATTGTTATTGTTATTACTATTTCTATTAGTACAATTAATGCTTACAGAGTGCTCTCTATGTGCTACATACCTTTCCAAGTCCTTTACATATACAGACTTATTTACTCATTTTCCCAAACCCATGAGGTAGGTACTATTACGTCTCCAATTTTGCAGATGAGAAAGTTGAGTCACAGAAAGTTCAAGTAGATTGCCCAGTGTGCCTCACAGATGGGAAGGAGAAAGAACATTACCTCTGGCAGTATCAGGCTCTCAAGGGTAAAAGGCACTCTTGTTACTTTATTCTTGTTTTTTATCACTCCAGAGGGCCAAACCAACACCAATGTATGTAAACTACTGGGAGGCAGGTATCAGCTCAATAAAAGAAACAACAACTCTGAATGATTAAAACTGTATGAAATTTCATATCACAGGATGTAAGGGGGAAAAAGGGTAGAAGTGAAGAAATGAATAAAATGAGGGTCCTCTTGGAAAGAAACCATACAAATGATGAAGCCAACCTTTCATGTAAAGAGTAAAGAAGGCATTGTGAAACTTGGATTTTAAAAAGACACATCACTGAAAATTTTAAAAGTAAAACAGGCATGGAAAAGATACAAAAATGAATATTTATCTTCCTATCTCAACACAAAGTAAATTAGATGTTGGAGAAAAGTGACAAAAATCTCCAAAAATAGGAAAATTTCCGTATGAACTTGTTTGGAAACTTACTAGACAGCCTGGGTTTGCAAAAGAAAATGATCCCAGGATCCTCACAGATTTGATAGACACCAATCCTGAAATTATAAAATACAGAGAGGAGAGGTATAGTTTGCTCTCTGGAAGCAAGGGCACCTGCATGAGAAAGTAGCATCCAGGCTGATCTGAGTAGATAAAATGCAGGCATGAGGTTGAAGATCATAAAATACCATTAGATCCAAATATACATACTTGTAATGACAATTAAGTACGTTAATACGATTTTAATCCTACTACTCAAGTGTGTGGTCAACAGAATTATTGGATAGTTGGATATGAATGTCTTCTGTGCTGAATCTTTTGGGTACTGCAGTCCCAGGACCCAGATATTTGCTGATTTAATGAATTAATATATACTTTCTTGACCAGCAACACCAAGAGGTGGCTGGTTAAGGATTTAGAATCCCAGAAAAATCTCTTTACACACACATGCACACACACACATAATAGTATATATAGGGATGCCTTGCTGGCTCAGTCAGTGGAGCATGTGACTCTTGATCTTGGGGTCATTAAGTTCAAGCCCCATGTGTGGTGTGTTTACTTAAAAAATGTTTAAAAATCGTATACATATATATACATATATAATAATGCCACGCTCTCCACCAAAAATGCTCCCATTACAGATAATAAGTACATTTTTAGACTATTTGCGCTTAGACAAATCTGTATTTTGATTTGTGAAAATCAAAGTATTCATGTTTTTAATTTACATACTTTACAAACAACTCTTTCTAGAGTTCTAGAACTGAATGATTACTAATTTAGACTGGAGCCTCTATTTGTATACAGGTTTGGGGGCTCAAAAAAATCCTTCAGTCATGGAAAATTGAAAGCTTATCTTCCATAAAAGTGACAAGAGATCTAAACCATGTTGATAGAGCGTAAACGGCCATGATGGAGTTAGGGATGTGGATTAAAGCTGGGAAAGTTGACATATGGTATTGATTCATTAAGGAAAAACAGTCAAATTTCAGTGGAGGATCTGGACTTTAGCGGAAATAATGGGCCTTGTTGGCTGAGAACGGGAGAATAGGGAGAGAGGTGTTATCAGGGTAAGCAGCGGAGAAGAAGAGGCAGTAACACAAAGACTGGATGCTGACCGTCTCTGGTAACCAGGAAAAGGCAAATATAAACAAAGGGGGTGAGTGACGATGGCTGATGTGTTGCGCGTTAGGAAATACTGTCCGGCTGCAGCACGGCCGCCGGCGGTCAAAGCGGTAACTGGGGATCTGAGCTCGGCGGTGACGCGCGGCCCTCACGTGACCAGGAGCCTATGTCTGCCCAAGTCCCGCTCTCCTGGTCCTTTTTGCCTGTCCAGACACCGTCTGCCTCCTGCCCTTCGGTCGAGGGGAAGAGCAGAAGGAAGTAAGTCCCCCTGGTCTTCTTAAATCGGTATGAGTGTCGGTGCTGCCCAGTAACCTCTGGGATAGGGATGGCAGAGTACCAGGCCTTTCCCTAGACCCAACCCCGCCCCCCTGCGCCCACATTTTGGTGCAGAAAATGGTGGTCTTGGGGTGAGGTGGGGAAATGAGTGGGGGCCCCTAGGGAACACAGACACAGTTTCTAAGTAATCCTTCTCTTCCACTTGCCGCCCGAAAAGAAATGACGAGCACTGCAGGGTGCAGGGTGGTGGGGCACGGAGGACTAAGCTTGAGGTGGGGCGTGGGGGAGGGGAAGCAGAGGGGGCTGGCGTGGGGGCGGTGGCTAGTGCCTAGGAAAGGGACGTGTGTGTCAGTCAGTCCTTCCCTCCTCCCCACTCCCCGCCCCCTACCCTATCCTGCGTCTGTCTGCAGGTCTGTAATTCTGCAGGTTACAGCGGAGCGCCTCGAGGAGAGGACGCCTAGAGCAAACCACCAGGAGAGGTCCAGGTCGGCGCCAAGGTGGGCAGTGGCGCGGGGTGGGGTGCGTGGGAGGACGCTGATGGGAACAGAGGAGCACCACCGTCCCGCCCCGCCCCTGCCACTGCGGGAGAGGCCTGTGGCAAGGCCTGCTGGGAAAATGGTGGGCTTTCGGGAAGGAGGGGCGAGGGACGATGCGAGGGGTGGCCCACGGCGGGGGTCCCTAGCGCGACAGAAGCCCTCGACAAGCGTAGGTTGAGGAACCTGCGCCCCGACACGGGAGAAGGCAGGTTTGGGAACGCGGGGCTGGGGTTTTGATTCAGCTACCAAGTGTGTTGACTCGACTCTGCCTTGCTTGTCTCCTATGAATAACTGTATTTAAAGACCATCCTGAACATGGAAAAATCCTGCAAAGAAAATGAAGAACAGCCACAGAGCGCACCCAAGACGGATGAGGAGCAGCCTCCAGTAGAGCACTCTCCCGAAAAGCAGTCTCCAGAGGAACCATCTTCCGAGGAGCAGCCTCCAGTAGAGCACTCTCCCGAAAAGCAGTCTCCAGAGGAACCATCTTCCGAGGAACAGTCCTCGGAGGAGGAGTTCTTTCCCGAGGAGCTCCTTCCCGAGCTCCTTCCCGAGATGCTCGTGTCTGAGGAGCGCCCTCCTCAGGAGCGCCTTTCTAGAAGGGACCTTTTTGAGGAGCGCCCTCCCATGGAGCAGCCTCCTTGTGGAGTGGGAAAACATAAGCTAGAAGAAGGAAGCTTTAAAGAGAGGCTGGCTCGCTCTCGCCCGCAATTTAGAGGGGACATACACGGCAGAAATTTAAGCAATGAGGAGATGATAAAGGTAGCAGAGGAGATGGAAGAAATGAAAAGAGTGCGCAACAAATTGATGGTTATGCATTGGAAGGCGAGACGGAACCGCCCTTATCCTATTTAATGTGTTCGGCCTTTAATTGTTTTGCCTGGTATAAGTATTGCCACCTGAACGTTGCATTTTCTTATATACCTTTCCCCATCTCAATTATAACTTTTCGCGTGGCTTTATTCTAGGTGTTTCACTTGTAACTGGCATTAAATTGGGTTTTCCCCACCCGCAAGCTGCAAGTTTCACTTTTCAATCATGAGTCTCATCCATTTGCATGAAAAGATGTACTTTATATATTGTGAAGTGAAATTTTTGAAAAGTATATGTTGTATCCCATTTTGTAAAAAGAATGTATATTTATATATTAATATGCAAAGAAAAAACAAAGTATATCTTAAATGGCTTAACAGTGGCTATCTGTGCGTAATAGGGGTTTTGGTTTGTTTTTCATTTTTGCTTCATCGGAACTTTCAAGACAAACATATTTTACTTTTGTTGAAAAAAAATATAATGGGAAAAACTTTTAAAATTGTCATTCAGCTTATAAAGGCAATGTGGCACTTAATAAATTCTTGTCAGAACTTTAAAAAAAAGTAAATCCCATGTTTGTTTGTTCTTAAGTAGGCTCAGTGCCCAGCATGGAGCCCAATGAGGGCTTGAACTCACAACACTGAGATCAAGAGCCAGAGGCTTAAACTGAGACGCCCAGTTGTCCCAATCCCACGTTTCTTTTAAATCTCAGGCAGAAGAACAAACCAGGTACCTCTATTTCACAGTCATTCTTTTCCCATTTAAAGAGGAATAATGCTTGACTTATAAGACAGCTGTGGAGCCAAATGAAATGAAGATTCTAGAGCTGCCTGATTTTCCCCTACCTGCGCATGCAGGACTCCCAACCCCTATAGATACCTTTCAAATACAGGGGATAGAACCCAAAAGGAGGTTTCACTTACACTCACAAATAATTCCTGTGAGATTCCAGGTGAGTGCCACATTCTCCTTCTGCCCTGCTATTCTCTTCCCTTGGATACTGTCATATCTGCTGCGCAGGGCTGCCTCTTCTCCTGGGTCCTGCTCCTTCCATGCCCTGTCCCCCCCACCCACAGCTAAGGTGCCTGGGTTGCTGATTGCTCTGGAGTCCTTTCTGGAGTCCTTTTCTATCCTACAGATAAGTGGAAAATGTTCCTCCTTCAGCTTTTATATTATACTTATCCAGATGCATATCATCCCAGTCCTGCTTAAACCTCAAAGTCTTAAAGAATTCTTAACAAAATAGTCCCTCCCCACCCCCCGAAAATCTCATCTTTTCCTCACTGGATTCAAACATGAATTCACTGAGATACGGGCTAGGAGACAAATTTGTGCCAGCCATAATGCTGTGTATTCTGGATTGAAACCTCCCTCCCAAAATAATCTCCAAGAATGACTATGGTTTTAGGTGCCTAACATTTGCCCTAGGGTGAATTCTCTCCCAGGGGTTTTCTGGCAGACTTGCCTTAACCAATTCAGCTGACTTGCTCAGCTTGTATAAGTTAAAGATGAAAGTAAGACTTAGGTTAAAGCTAGGGCATTTCCCTTCTACCCCACCACACATCACCAAGAAAGAAGCATTCAGGGGCGCCTGGGTGGCTCAGTGGGTTAAAGCCTCTGCCTTCGGCTCGGGTCATGATCCCAGGGTCTTGGGATCGAGCCCTACATTGGGCTCTCTGCTCAGCCGGGAGCCTGCTTCCCCCTCTCTCTACCTGCTTGTGATCTCTCTCTCTGTCAAATAAATAAAATATTAAAAAAAAAGAAAGAAGCATTCAAAAGTACTTTGTAAGTCATTAAAGTACTGTATATGTATATACATATACATCTATATGCATGTATCAGATATTATGATTTCTCAAACTACCCTTATAACACCTAAGATTTTGTTTTATTGATGCTATTAATTCTAGAAAAATGAATAGTGGTTAATAATTTTTTTAATTGTGACCCAGTCATGAAACCTGAGTTTCTGTTTGACTGTGTAGCTTCATTGTGTTTACTTCTCTAGAAAGTATGATTTGCAATTCTAGAAGGATCACTTAGGGGAAGAATTGTTACCCCAAATTCAACATTGAAATTATTTACATATCTTAAATATCAGCATTTCTCTTATTTAAAAAAAGGCAGGGACCTGGGCTCTATCCCAGACCCACTAAATTTCATTTTCTGTCAATTAGCACACAATTTAGAAATCCAATTCCATATGCAATATACTCCTGGTTTTAGTAAAAATAAACTATGACACAAATAGAATAAAATGCAGATGATTTTATCAGAATTTAAAAGGGTGCAAGGTTTGGGGCACCTGGCTGCCTCCTGATCTTGGGGGTTGTGAGTTCAAGCTCTACACTGGGTGTAGGGTTTACTTAAAAAAGAATGAAAGTTTTGTCCAAGCATATTTTTAAGAAACTAAAAACCACCTCATCAGTTTTACTACATAAAATTTAGGTTGCTTGCCACAAAGTAAGACCATACACAGAATAAAAACATGAGGACAATAAAATAGCAAGATATATTTTTCACAACTGGCATTAATGTCTTGCATTCCTTCCTTATAAGAAGTAAAATGGATCTGAAATAAATTTAAAGTTCTTTGCTGTTCAGTTCACAAAATGGTGAGCCAGTCCTGTGCCCTTTACCTTTTTGCTTTTTATTTTCCACTGTATGATGCCATTTGGGGGGATCTTCATGTCTCCAGACCATTCTTCAAGGTCATGGCAGCCTGATGGACGCTGGTTGGGCTGGATTCCAGTTGGAGTGAGATAAGTTTCCAGAGGCTCACTGTACCAGTTTGACAAGACAGGATGAATCCACCCCCCCACCCCCACCCCCACCCCATGGTGCTCAGAGGGGCGGTGCTC